CCCCCCCCCCAAAAAATGGCTAAAATGTTGTTTGCTCTTATATATTCTACAGTATTTTAAAATTACAAAATTTTATAGACAATTACAAATTATATTCTAAACAATTTTATTACATTTATCTATTTTGTGTGTTTGCATGTGCCAATGCATTCCACAGTGGAGGTCAGAGGATAATGTGTAGGAGTTGGTTCTCTGCTTCTACCACATGGATCCTAGAGATGAACTCAGGTCATCAGGCTTTGTAGCCAGCGACTTTACTCAGTGAGCCATCTTCCTGGCTCCAAATAGTCCCCGTTTTTTCCCAGACAGGATGTCACTGTATAACCTGGTTGGTCCAGAACTCGTAATATAAACCAGGTTGACAATGAACTTACAGAGACCTGCCTACCTCTGCTTCTTGAGTGCTGGGATTGTACCATAACTCATGGCTGTATTATTTTTGGTTTAGATTTTACTTATTTTGTGTGTATGGGTGTTTTGTCCGCATGTATATCTACCATATGTATATAGTATCCAAGAAGGTCAGAAGAGTCAGATCCCCTGAGACTGTTACTGACAACTGTTAGCTTCAGTGTGTGTGCTGGGAACTGAACACAGAACCTCTGGAAGAGCTGTCAGTGCTCTTAACTACTGAGCCATCTGTTCAGATCCTAATGATATATTTTTTTAAAGATGTATTTATTATTTATATGAGTATACTGTAGCTGTCTTCAGACACATCAGAAAAGGTTATCAGATCCCATCACAGATGGTTGTGAGCCACCATGTGGTTGCTGAGAATTAAATTCAGGACCTTTGGAAAAGCAGTCAGTGCTTTTATAACCACGTATCCATCTCTATAGCCTCTGATATTCTTAATTATAAAAACATCAAGAAAAGCTAAAAAATTACAGGGAGAGGTATCACAATCACTATAAGCTAACCCACATTTTCTTTCTTTCTTTCTTTCTCTCTTTCTTTCTTTCTTTCTATTTATTTATTTTATATATGAGTACACTGTAGTTGTCTTCAGACACATCAGAAGAGGGCATCGGATCCCATCACAGATGGTTGTGAGGCACCATGTGGTTGCTGGGAATTGAACTCAGAACCTCTGGAAGAGCAGTCAGCGCTCCCAACCTCTGAGCCATCTCCCCAGCCCCTAACCCACATTTTCTAAGGTATATGCAATAATACTGTATTCCTGTTCAACAGTATACAAATACGTATTCTTTTTTTTTCTTTCTTTTTTTTTTTTTTCTTTTGGTTTTTCGAGACAGGGTTTCTCTGTGTAGCCCTGGCTGTCCTGGAACTCACTCTGTAGACCAGGCTGGCCTTGAACTCAGAAATCCACCTGCCTCTGCCTCCCAAGTGACGTATTCTTTTTCTTACTCATGCTTTTACAAACTTAAAGACTGTATCAACTCATTTGTATTATTGAGTAAAATACTCTTAGAGGGGGTCTACAAGATGAGTATACAGAAACATAAATTCGTCGGGCAGTGGTGGCGCATGCCTTTAATCCCAGCACTTGGGAGGCAGAGGCAGGCGGATTTCTGAGTTCGAGGCCAGCCTGGTCCACAGAGTGAGTTCCAGGACAGCCAGGACTATACAGAGAAACCCTGTCTCGAAACCGCCCCCCCCAAAAAAAAACCCAAAAAACAGAAACATAAATTCAAAGGTGCTTGCTAAGAAGCCTGAGGCCCTGAGTTCAATCCCTGGGACTCACAATAGAGAACTGATTCCCACTATTGTCTCCTTACCTTCACATGCAGGCTATGGCAACTACACATACCATACGATAAATAAATGCAATTTTAAAATGTTTTCTAAGGCCCTTGGATGTTGAAAACAATTTTAACTGATTCTATAAAGATTCACTCATAATATTTTGTAATGCATTAAATCAGATAGAAGCAGTGCTTGGACTTACCGAGGAAATGTTCTCCAGTTCCATGTGTTTGACCAAAGGCATTCGAAGAAATTGGCCCTTGATAAGGAAATCAAACTCGACATGTTTGTGGAGTTCTGAAAAAGAATAAGGATCTTAGAATATCAGTGCTGTATGTATGAGAACCCTGAAGCAGTCAAATATACAGCACTCACTGCAGCCTTGGTTACTCCACACACAACTTCTCATGGGACAACAGATGGACGGTATATTCTAGCACACTGCATGCTTTTTGTTTGTTTTGTTTTTGAGTCAGGGACTCTTGTCTTGACCACCTGACTCTGTCTCCTGAGTGCTGGGATCAAAGGCATATGCCACTATGCCACTCGGCTACATGAATTTTAAAGAACCAATATACTCTGTTCGGTTGGCTTATTTTAGGTTTTATGGCTGTTGTAATTATTTAGGGGCTGAATATAGGCTATATGCATGCTATGCACATGTTTCACCACTGAAGTATCTACACCCTACTAATCACTTTTATTTTTGTTTTAAATGACTGGCTTATTGAGTATAGCACAAAAAGCCAACAGGCTATGCAGCAGATAAACAACCACCTGCAGCCCATTACCTGATTTTTATTATTTTATTTATTCTTTTTGGTTTTTCAAGACAGGGCTTTACTGTATAGCCCTGGTTGTACTGGAACTTGATCTGCAGAGAAGCTGGCCAAAAACTCCTGAATGCTGGAATTAAAGGTGTTTACCACTACAATCCAACCATTATCTATTTTTTAAAAAAACTTGTTTTACAGAAAATTTACAATATGCACAAAAGTAGAAATAACAGTGAAAATCCATATCCTATTCCAATACCAAGAAACTCCCGAATAATCAGCTCTATATTGTCCTGCTAGCTTCTTTTAAAGTAAACCTCAGAAATTACCATTTTGTTTGTAAATGGCTTCATTATATATTTCTTTTTTTTTTTTTTAAAGATTTATTTATTTATTATATGTAAGTACACTGTGGCTGTTTTCAGACACCCACATGAGGGCATCAGATCTCATTGCAGATGGTTGTGAGCCACCATGTGGTTGCTGGGATTTGAACTCATGACCTCTAGAAGAGCAGTCAGTGCTCTTAACCGCTGAGCCATCTCACCAGCCCCATTATATATTTCTAAAATATAAAAACTTAAAACATAATGTTAAAATATTAACTATGTTACTATCAAATAGTCACTCTTCATGTAGTTTTTACTAACTTAACTTATATTTTGAAACTGGGTCGTATTGTGTAGCCCACACTGGCTTCAACCTCACTACACAGCCCAGGCTAGCCTTGAACATGCCATCTCATTGCCTCAGTTTACAGAGGTACAACTGCAGGTGTGTGCCATCGTTCGCGACTCATGTTTTAGAGTAGAGTAGGTTTTTTTTTAAAGCCAGCATCCAACTGATGATTGCATGTCTTTCAATCTTTATAAGTCTTCCTCCTTTTTCTTGGCATTTCTTCACTGAGGAAAGTGGGCCAATTATCTTTCATTTCTTACATTCTCGGCTTAGTTAATTATATCTCCAAAGTGTCTTTTTTACTTTTTAAGTTTATTCTTATTATTATCTTGGTATGATGATGGGTGTTTGTGGCATGTGTGGCATGGCACCCATGTGGAGGTTAGAAGACAACTGTGACTCTCTTCACTTTTACTTGGGTTGTGAGGATTAAACTCAGGTCATCAGGCTTATACCACTGGACAATGAGTGCCTCTGGCTAGCCGAGCTCTGTCAGAGTGTTACAAAGTATCTTTTAATATGTCCATCTATCCCGACCATATCCTGTACATGTATCTTGTACACTTGGAAAGTTTTCATAGGGCGTACTGAATATCTCCTATGGCACCACATCAACATGGACCCATTAACTAGTTTTGTGAGCATACATGGGTGCATGAGTGTGGAAGTTCAAGACTGATGTCGAATGTCTTCCTAGTTCATTAGCCACCTTAATATTAAGGAAAGGTTTTATTGAACCCACGTCTTGATGTTTCACTAGTCTTGCTGGCCAACTTGCTCTGGAGACTTTCATCTCTGCTTGCGAGTGCTGAGATCAAAGGCAGGTTACCACACCAACCTATCCTGTATGTGGAGGCTGGAGATCTGAACGCTGGTCTCCAAGCTTGCACATAAATACTTTATTCACTGATCTACCTCCCCAGTCCTCAGTTATAGATTTTTTAAAGTTGCTGAAATCCACCTTCAGGAACAGTCTGACTGCATCCACCATAATGTTCCCCATCTATTATTAACCTAGCTAATGGCTGTAACAATTATTTTTATTTTTCCCCCTTCCCTTCTCCTTCTTGCTCCAGCCCCGCTCACTCTGGACCCCTTGAAAATACTATGTATCCTTGAATAAAAAAAAAAAAAATTGCAGCTTTTTAGCAATAAATAGACTACAAGACCTACCCATCCCGTGATAAACAAATAAAACCCTGTATGTATTAAAAGCATTATCTCACAAGTTATGGTGGTACATGCCTTTAATCCCAGCACTCGGGAAAGCACAAGCAGGAGGGTCTTTCACTGAGTTTGAGTTCAGCCTGTGTCTATCCAGTGAGTTCAAGGAGTTCAGGGCTACACAGTGAGACCCTATCTCAATTTAAAAAAAAAAAAAAAGGAAGCAAACATAAACCTAAAGCACAATCTCATGCTTGAGAAAAAGCTATGAGATTGCTTGACAAAGAAGGAGAACTTGAGTTATAACTCTTATCTACTCACCCAGTGCTTCAAGGAGGAGAGACGGGAGAGCTGCATAGCATTAGAAGCACTGGTACAGGAGCAAATTCTGGTTTTTAAAGATGATATTTTATATAATTTTTAATATGTTTATAACATTTGATTATACCGCCGGGTGGTGGTGGCACACGCCTTTTAATCCCAGCACTTGGGAGGCAGAGGCAGGTGGATTTCTGAGTTCAAGGCCAGCCTGGTCTACAGAGTGAGTTCCAGGACAGCCAGGGATACACAGAGAAACCCTGTCTCGAAAAACCAAAAAAAATAAAAAAATAATAAAAAAAATTTGAATTTGATTATACCAATTACTTTTTGGTACTTCTGTTTTGTTTCTGTTTTTTGTTTGTTTGTTTTGTTTTCTTTTGTTTTTGAGACTGTTTTTCTCTGTGTAACAGAGCACTGGATGTCCTGGACTCACTTTGTAGGCCAGGCCGGCCTTGAATTCACAGAGCTCCATCTGCCTCTGCCTCCTGAGCTCGGAGGCTGCTTGGCTGCCGTCACACCCAGCCTTTTTTTGGGTAATTTTAAACAAAAAACAGTAGTATTAATAGTGACATTTTGTTACTGTATAAAATAAATGCTAAAAGAACTGTTATTTGCTTTTGTACATCTTTAGCAACAACAGAGCCTAAGCTTCAAGATCCTTGTTTTATCTGGCACAAGTACAATCCTTTGGTTATCATAACTAGGATACACTAAAATCTCTACTCTTTTTTTGTTTGTTTGTTTGTTTTGTTTTTTTTCAAGACAGCGTTTCTCTGTATAGTCCTGGCTGTCCTGGAACTCACTCTGTAGACCAGGCTGGCCTCGAACTCAGAAATCCACCTGCCTCTGCCTCTCAAGTGCTGGGATTAAAGGTGTGTGCCACCACTGTCCAGCTAAAATCTCTACTCTTAAATTACAAATACTTTACCTCCAAGTTATCTTTAAACAGCAGATTGAACAGGGAATTTTTTTCAGAAAACTTTTTTTTCTCTTTCAAAGCTTCCACCAGAAAATTCTGTATAACTAATATATTTTGTTGTAAAAGTCATGTACTAAATACCAAAAATGGAACAACAACAACAAAAAAAGGTGGAGCTAGAGAGATGGCTTAGTAGTTTAGAGCACGGACTGCTCTTCCAGAGGTCCTGAGTTCAATTCCCAGCAACAACATGGTGGCTCACAACCATCTGTAATGGGATCTGATGTGTTCTGGTGTGTCTGAAGACAGATACAGTGCACTCATGTACACAAAATAAATACATCTTAAAAACAAAAACAAACAAACAAAACCCCATGCATTTAAAGCTGGGTTGTGGTGGTGCTTACCTTTGATCCCTATAATCTGGAGGCAGCAACAGGAGGATCTTTGTGAATTCAAGGGCAGCCTGGCCTGTAGAGCAAGTTCTAGGACATACAGGACATATAGAGAAAATACACAGGCTACACACTGTACTGAAAAACCAAACCAAACTAACAAACCAAACTAAATCAAACCAAAAAACTATTAAAGTGTAGCTGTTGGCACTGTGCCTAACTTCTCAGAGCATATATACTCACCATTTTTGGTCTCCAGCAATTTATTGATAATGTTACTAAGGTCGGCGACTTCAGAGGTGGCAGGGATTGAGAAAGGAACATCATCCACTGCGTATCTATAAAAGGAAATATGTTACATTAAGTCTACAGATGTATTGGGTACTTCATGCAAGACATGCTACAAGGCATAAGTAAAATGATGTAAGGTGTCTTTATTCTTTTTTTTGTGGAGCCCTGGCTGTCAAGGAACTTCCTCTGTATACCAGGCTGGCCTGGAAATCACAAAGATCAGCCTGCCTGAGTGCTGGGATCAAAGGCGTATGTCACTACAGCTCAGCAAGTCTTTATTCTTAAAAGAATGAGTGTGAACACGGTGTCCTAAATGATGAGGTGATTAAAGATAAGTCACTTCAACCAGAGAATAGGGGTGGAGTTCAGGACTCGAAAGGATACACAAAAAAAGATCATTCTTAGGTCACAGCTATAGGTAAGGGAAAGGTAGCCTGGAAGGAGAACGTGGGAAACCAACAACAGCACACTAGAAGAGATGAGACTAAAGACATGTAGAGTGTTTTAAATCCTGTATACTTTGAAATAGTTTTTAACTCTTTGTGAAGCCATAAGGAACCACTGTTGCAGTCTCAGTTAAGGTGTAATAGCAGTTCTCTGTTTAGTGAGATCTTTATAGCTGTGCAACAGACTGGATCAGAAGAATATGACCAGAAACAGGAGTCTCAAAGAGAAAAAAAATATTTGCAAATTATTTATTTAGTAAGGAACTTGCATCCCTAATATATAAAAAACATTTACAGTTCAGTAATAAAAACTTTCCAGAAAAAGAGCAATGACCAGCAGACACAGGACCAAACACAATGCATTATCACTTGATATCCATAAGGGTGCAAATCAAGTGTCGGTGAAGATACAGAGAAGAAGAATCTTCATCAGTGCTGGTGATGATGCAAAACAGTAGTTATTGTGGAAAACAGTGTGCCAGTTCCTCTAAAAGTTAATGTGACCCAAGTTATTTGACCCAAGAACCACACTTTTAGGTACACACCAACAAACAATGAAATCACATGTTCACATGTTCATAGTGTCATGGCCTTTAATACCAGCATTTGAAAGGCAAAGGCAGGTGGATCCATGGCTCTGAGGCCAGCCTTGGCTACACAGTGGGATCCAGGCCAGCCAGGGCTACACATGGTCACATAAAAAGTGTACATTAACGCTTATACAGGCACTATTCACAATAGCTAAAATACTGAATGTCTAACTGGACAATAAGAGAAACTGAGCCATACAATTAGGCCATAAAATAAAGTATGATATTCTGTGAATAAACTTTAAAAAAAACCACACACACAGTAAGCAAGGATGCCATCCACAAAAGACCACACATTTTGTATAATTTCATTATAAAAGTGTCAAGAATAGGCAAATCTACTGCTTCAGTTCCTGCCTTGGCCTCCTCTGAGATGACTGTAACCCATGAGCCAAATAAACCCTTTCCTACCCAAGTTGCCTTTTGTCAGTGTTTTATCAGCAAGAGAAACCTAAGTAGGACACACACACAAAATACACCTAATCAAATCGGACATTGAACTGGCTTCATACTAATTAAAAAACCAGCTCTACAAACCCCATATCCAGTTTCTAGACTGTTTGAAAAAAAGCAAATGAAGTTGTGCCTTCAGAAACCATGAGACACCATTTACGGAAAGACTATGAACAGAAGTGCCACTGTTCAACCCTCAAATTACTAACATGATGTGTGCAGATGCAGAAAGCAAACTCGAAGCCCTGTTCTTTCCACACACACGTCAAACTATTAAGAGCTCACGAAGGTGGGTAGAAAAACAGAAAATCAAGAAAACGTGACCACTGCTTCCAAAAGAGGCAGGACAGAAGTGTGGGGCACGTGAAGGGGAGGGCGAATGAAGTCTTATTTTTTCTATCCGGCAGTCAGCTTCTCTTATTTGCATTAAATCCTTTTAATTTCAGCTAGATAATTATCAAAATTCTCTCGGCTTTGATTTACTAAAGCCTTTCCGTTTCTTCTTTAATGTATATTCCTAGTGAAAACAGCAAGATTACCCGGGACTACAAGGTCCAAATCGAAGGAGTCTTCAAACGAGATCCGCTCCGGGAAGACAGGGGCAGAAGCTGCAACCCTTACTTACTTCTTGTCCTCGGTGTAGAAACGTGCCTGGAGTTGTGCCATGGCGGAAAGTACACAGGAGCCTTCTCCACAAAAATGTATGCGTCGATAATTAAGTAGCTCTAAGGTAGACAGCGCCGAAGCGCAGTAGAAGCTAGGCTTCAGTTATCTTCCTCGGGTTTTTACAGACCATACCACGAGGTTCTATTTCCACCGGCGCCCAGCCCGCACACATCAACTACCTATTCCGAGATTTAGGAAACATCGATTAGTAAAGCATAGTCTTAAAAGTATCCAGTCCCCTTAATACTTTTATGTTTCTTACTAGCATCTAAATCCGTAATCGATTAGAAAAATAAAGAAAAAAACTAACTTAAACCTAATTTTAAAGGGTATCTTTAGACCCAGACCCTTTAGACTCAGCGCTCAGGTACTACAAACCCCAGAAGGGAGCGCGTTCCAGACCTTTTGAACACTGGGAATTGTAGGTTTTATTTATTTTGCCACACCGCACTTAGGTTCTCATATCTGCTTTTAAAACTCCCTTCTCCGGGCAGATATTACACTTCTTGCTTCTTTACTCTGAGTGACAAAGGTCCCACCTGTTCTTTTTCTATACATTGTTCCACCAGCCAGATTCAGCAGAGACCATGTGTTCTTACCTCAGGCTTCAGAGCGGAAATACAGGAAAGGAGAACGAATCGGAAGAGAACTGGATGACGGCGGCCGAGAAGGCTCTAATCTGATGGACCTGCGCTACGCCTCCAGGAGGGGTGCGCCTGCGCATTGTGCTGGTCTCCACGGCAGGGCCTCGGAGCCAAGACGAGGTTGAGTAGTCTCGTTTTGAATTTTCTCCCTTCTGCTGCGGCGGACTCCCCTCTCGCGTGGGGCTCACTGCGGCGGCAGGGTTGAGGGGGCCGGAGGTTGGCAGAGCTGTCTGCGCCACCGACCGGACGCTCCCTCCCAACCTCCCTTCTTCCTCCTGCCTCCTCCTCCCGTCACCTCCTGACCCTCCCGGGCTGAGAGCAACCGCCGGCCCCCGCCCCCGGCCGTCGCCGGACGCCGCTGCGCGCTGTCCCTGCGCCCTCGCCCGCCTCTGCGGCGGCTCCTTCCCTGTGGGCCCGGGAGGGGGCCCGCGGCCCGGAGAAGGCAGGCTGCCGCAGGGGAAGGCGAGGTGTCTGTCCTGCAGAGGGTGCGGAGCCCAAAACCGCATCACCGCTGCGGAGCACCCGAGTCCAGGGCCGGAGCGCTGCCCGAGGGGGGCCTCTCCCCTCCTTTCTGAGTCTGATGTTTAGAAAAGCTTCCTCGGCACCTCCCCTGGCTTTCGGACTTTTTTTTTTTTAAATCCTGAAGTCAGTCACTCAAAGGCTTGTGTCGGTCTCAATGGTCTCGATTATTACTCTAGTTATTTTTCTGAGTGGAGAATATATGAGGGCTATTACTCTTTTTTTGTTGTTGTTTGTTGTTTTGTTGTTTCGGTTGTTTTGTTTTTCGAGACAGGGTTTCTCTGTGTAGCCCAGGCTGTCCTGGAACTCACTCTGTAGACCAGGCCGGCCTCAAACTCAGAAATCCGCCTGCCTCTGCCTCCCAAGTGCTGAGATTAAAGGCGTGCGCCACCACCGCCCGGCTAGGGCTATTACTCTTAAGGTCCCAAATTTTTAAGGCATTCGCCTGAAAACCTCCTGGGGTGGGGTGAGGTAGGGGACACACTCCTCTGAGACTGCGATTCAGAGTCAGGCAGAACTGGATTGCAAAATGTGTGGGCTTAGCGGTTGTGTACAGGTGAATATAATGAGAGATTTTCTATATGTTGCCTAACGTTTAAATCTGTAGAAAATTAGAAGTGATCTAAACAATCTAAACTATTTTGGAGGCGAAAACAATCATTCGCTGAGTGGACAAGGACACAAAAAGCGTGACTGTTTTCAATTTATTCGTTTTACAGAATTGCATGCCCCGTAACAGGAATGCCTGAATTTGATTCTACCTGTGTTACTTAACCTCTGTGCTACACTTAGATTAGCTGTGACAATTAAATGCCACATAAGCAGCGCTCAGAAAATGTTTACTATTGCTCTCATAAGAGCTACCAATAATAGTTTTTACCAGAAACTTTACTGATGTAGGTGGAGGCATAAAATGAAAAAGACCTCTGCCTAAAATACAGAAAAAAAAAATCCCTTGTTCAGATTGGGTTTCCTAATAGTAGTGTGCCCCTTTAAAATCGAGTCAGTCAAAATGGTGAGGATTAACATTAAATAAGCTGGGACATCTGAAACTTGAAATTCCTTAGTTTAAGTGTTAACTATTGAATTTTTACTGATAACATGTAATTGATTAAAATATCGTTTTAAACTTCCTTTAATTTGGATTTACCAGATTAACAATACCTGGAAATAAGTACATTTTTAAACTCTTTTTTGGTTTTTTGAGACAGGGTTTCTCTGTGTATCCCTGGCTGTCCTGGAACTCACTCTGTAGACCAGGCTGGCCTCGAACTCAGAAATCCGCCTGTCTCTGCCTCCCAAGTGCTGGGATTAAAGGTGTGCACCACCACCACCCAGCTCATTTTTAAACTCTTAATTCCAGTGGAAAACTATGATTAGGAAGATACAGAACACGAATTACTCAAGGAAAGATCAGTTTGCAAAGCATACATCTTGAATTCACTAAAATATATTTTTATTTGGCTAAGATGTTTAGTTAAGAAAAAATAAGTTACTAAGAATACCCAATATGAAATTTTTCAACAGTGACTTATGTGTCATAGCTGGTATTGCTTCCAGGCATTACCTAGATACCTAATGCTAGAGTGTCGGTTTTCTTAAGTTTAGTTTATGTCGACTACAAACTTTTGGGATTCATTTACTGGGGTCCTCATGAAGACTCACTGTTATCTGGAGAATATTCAACATGGAAAAAGATTTTCTTAAAGTCTCTTGGGTTTTTTTTTTTGTTTGTTTGTTTGTTTTGTTGTTTTTTGTTATTAGGGTTTTTTTGTTCGTTTATTTGTTTGGTTTGGGTTTTGGGCTTTTGAGATTTTGTATGTATGTGTGGTTTTTTTTGTTGTTGTTTTTCTTTTGAGACAGGGTCTCTTATGTAGTCCAGGATGGATTTGCATTGACTATGTTTCCCTAGATTAGCTATGAACTCTAGGCTCACCTACTTCTACCTCCTGAATACTGGGATTATACCTGCCTGCAACCAACTACACTTGCTTGTAGCTTGTTTGGGAGTTCTGGGATTTTAAGAGAATTACCATAGTTTCTTTTTATTCATAGGGTTTGTGTTCCTCAGTTTTGGTTACCTGGTGTCAATATGAAGTGGAAATCCTAGAAATAATTAATAAGTTTGAGACTGTCTGTCTTTCTCAGTAACATGATGTCTTGCACCATCCTACCTGGAATATGAATCATTTATATGTCCAGGGAGGGTGTCCATTCTGTGTCCTGCTCACCCATTAGTAGGTTACTGACTTTTGGTTATTAAGTCATTATCACAGACCTTGTAATACAGTAAGTGCAAAAGTGGTGATAATGGCAATTCACATGTGCCAAAGAGAAGTTAAAAAGTGTTTTAAGTGAAATAATGAAGTTCATAATTTTAAAAGAAAAGCTATAGGCTAGTTTAGAAACATCAGCAGTACAACAAGCTATTTCAGAGACCACATCCACAAAAGTTTTACTAAAGCATATTGTTAAAACGTGTTTTTAAATTTCCCTGCTTACTTATAAAGTAACTATTATTGGTTTATATGTACAGAATAAAGCCTAGTGTAATTAGTCAACCTTGATTTCAGGTATACATATGGGCTTATGACTGTGCCCAAGAGTAAGAGGGCAGGGAACCACTGTACTCTACTTACCATTAATCAGATAATCAAATCACTTCAGAGTCAGTATAAAATAGTATATTAAGTCATATTTAAGTTCTCAAAGAGCGAAGAAATAAAGAGGTTTGTGTGTGCAGAGTAAGAGCTGTAGAAGTTGCTAGGTGGTGGTGGTGGTGCTCGTGCAGACCTTTAATCCCAGTACTTGGGAGGCAGAGGCAGGTGGATCTGTGAGTTTGAGGTCAGCCTGATCTACAAGGGTGAGTTCTGGGACAGCGGGGCTACACAGAGAAACCCTGTCTCAAAAAAACAAAACAAAACAAAAACAAAAAACAAAAAAAACACAAAAAACCAAACCAAACAACAAAAAAAAAGTAAACAAAAGCTGTAGAAACTTCAAAATTATAGAATTTTTTAGGAAAGACAAACCCTCAAATAAAAGATATTTTAAACATGATCTTTAACTTTTCTACAAAAAGTAAAAGGTTGGGTCTGCCCACCTATGCTTCTTTAGTGCTGAGATTAAAGTTGTTTGCCCCACACAGGCTTGGATTATTAGTTTAAAGGATATATTTTAGTCCATAATGGCTGTGGTGGAAACACAACAAGATTGATGTTGACAGTTTTTCAGAAAGTATACCTGAGAAATTACGTCTAGTGTTTTGAACAAATATATTGGCTGTTGATCAAAACCAAATGTCCATAGCCCAGGTATTGCCCCTTCTAGAGAAATGTCCTGATTAATCTCTAGCCCTCTGTCATGAATTCACCATATGCAAACAATCATCCTTTATAAAGTAAAATCATAGAAGCACTAATTGTATCATTTCTTCTAAATCTTTTTTTCTAAAATAGATTGGTTAATTATATTTGTCGTTTGTGGTTTATGCACATGAGTGCAGTGCCCACAGAGGCCAGAAGAGGGCATTACATCTGGAGCTGGGATTGCAGGTGCTGTGAACCACTTCGCGTGGGTGTTGGGATGATTATGCTCTGGTCCTCTGCAAAAGCAGTATGTTGTCTTAACTACTGGACAATCTCTCCAGCCTTGTAACCTTACTTTTGATATAGAAGAAAATCTACTTTGTAAAGTCATATAAAATAAACATCTTAGCAATTTCCCAGAAAAAGAAAAGTGGGCTTTCTGAAGTTTATTAAATACTCTGTCCATCTTTAGTGGTTCTTTCTTTCTGCTCTTTGTAACCAGTCCTGGTACTTCCTCCTTACACAGTATATTTGTCAGGTCTAGGATTATAGATTGTAAATGTGGAAACTTTATTTTCAAGCTCCTACAGATGCTCCACTGGTAATAATTTTCATTGAGGGAAAGAAAATATGGCTGCAGAAATCTTAGTTTCATTGATAACTGTAGAGTGTCGGTCCTGAAATAAATCTGTAGCTGTTAGATGAGGAATTGGGGACAAAGGTCACCTATTCCAGGACACAAGCACTAGTCAGTCTTAGACTTTAACTCTTTCACCTGAGTGGAATAAGGCTCTATCATATTAGCCTGGTAATAAATAAAATTATGTAATGTAAAATATACATTAACCACTGTTTCCTTACAGCAAACATGCTACCGTGAAGTCACAGTCACAACTTTCACATAAACAAAGCTGGCACTGTTACAATTTAGTGCCCCAAAGGAAGACCGTCAATCAACTAAAGGGCATTTCTGAGGCAAAATAACATAAGCATCTGGTCTTGAAACTTGAGCCACTGCCTAAAGGTAATAACTTTTTAAACTTTGTTTCTCCACAGTTGTCCTTTTGGTTTTTTTTTTTTTTTCTTTCTTTTCTGGTTGTTTTTGTTGATTGGTTGGTTTTTGTTTTTTTTTTTTTTTTTCTCGAAACAAGTTTCTCTGTGTGGTCCTGGCTGTCCTGGAACTCAATCTGTAGACCAGGTTGGTCCTGAATTAACTGAGATTCACTTGTCTCTGCCTCTCAAGTGCTGGGACTAAAGGCATGGGCCACCAATGCCTGGCCACCACCACATTCTTCTCTTCTTCCTCCTCTTTTTCTTCCTATCCTTCTCCCCCCCCCTTTTATCCTATTGAGTTGCTTTAATGCTGCCGGTATATATATAGGTGGAGGGCCATCCACTGGAG